CGGGATGGTGACGTCACGTTTTTGGCACAACTTTTTTTTGCATCAGATTGATGTCAGATTTTTTTGTGAAAATGCACCTAGTAAGACCTTCAGGTGCGAGGTCTTATCTAGTTGGATTGTGAAATGGCTAGTTTAACGTTTCATTGTGACGGTGGTAAGTCACTTAGTTCTCTCACTAAGGTCAAAAAGAAGTTTCTTTTACGTTTGTCGTCAAACCTGTAATGAATAAGTCGAATAGGCGAATTTTTAAGCGTTTGTTTTTTTTCAGATCTTTAGTTCTGTACGAATTTCGGAATGACCAAGCGCCTTTCGCAAACGCTCTGCATTCACGTCAATCCTCCCTAAATTCCGGGCATCACTCGTTCTCTTGGAGCTGTAGACATGTCTCTCAGTAAATATCCAAATTACGTTGCAAGATTAGTAATTCATTGAATTCGGATCAAAAGTTATATGGACAACCCCGTTTAGAACGCATCAGTCATTCTGAAGCACAAGAACTGCTACTTTTTTTCAAGGTCTTGATGATCATATTTATTAACTGAATGACGGGCCAGTGTTTATTTCTCACGATTGCAAGGCTCGTATCGGGCGGTAGAGGTTTATGCAAAATCGGCGTCAACAAGCTCTTAGACATTTTTCATTACTTAAATCACTTGAAATTCGAGAAGGATCTCTGAGATGCATATGTGCTGAGGCGGAGAGAATGAATGGTACATCAGCGTTCTCTTCCTACTTGGCTCATGGCTCGAATGCTAGAAGTGCGAATCAATGTTCATCTTCCCTCGGGTGGTTTCAAATGAAATTCGAGGATTATGATGAAACCACTCATTTTGTTTTATCTCAAATTTTCCTTGTTGATCAGTTGGAGAAAAATGTTCTCAGTATTAGCCCAGGAAATAATCATCTTGCTCTCTGCTTTATTACGGGGAATAATTACTGCAAGTGTCTCCTTTCTGTTTCTAGACCATGCTTCAATACCGTGGCGGAGGCGGTAAATCCTCTGCTAATTTTGCTGAATGCGCGTACCTCCATAGGGGTCTGCGTGAGGATCTTGCAGCTCAACTTCCTCGAGGTGATGATCGTCCGATTAACCACGTAGTCTTCGTTATCCACGGCATTGGACCCATCTACAATATGCGTTGTGAGGGTCTCATCAGTTGTGTCAATGATATGCGGTGAGTCATTCAAGATGATGTACCTTTACTTTAATTTTCGTAAACAGGAGATCAAGATACATTTCTGTCTGATGAAGTTCCGGTAATGGAGAACGTCTTATATCACATGATCAAAGAGGCGCCAAAGTTTCTCATTTTACCTCTTCGGCATTTCCTGTTGTGACTTGTCAGGGTTCCGTTAAGCGTGTCTGCCTTGCATCCATTTTTAACCTCGCAGCCTTGTGCCCTTTATTCTGCTCTGTACCAATTTTCTATTTTAGCTTCTTATATATAGACGTTTGAATGGCGGGAATATAGTTTTGTTGTTATCTGTCTCATGGGTTTAAACTTGTTTATTCCGTCGTACGTCATTGAGAGAATACGTAATATGCGATAATAGAACAATTCATCTAGAAATGGTTAGAAAATTAATAGGGATCTGGCAGTAATAGACAGCTAATTATTATTATTATTTTGCGTTTTCAGGAGGACAGCGACCAATCTCTTGTCTACTCACTTCAAAGACGTACCGGAAAAAGGACGAGTTGAATTTCTACCTGTTCGTTGGCACGCAGCCCTTCATTCCGAGTCTACGGGTATCAACAATAGACTAAAGCGTGTGACTCTACGCAGCATTCCTAAGATGCGTAGCTACACCAACGGAACTCTCACTGACATTCTCTTCTA